CATGGTGAATCGTGAGTTGAGCATCCGTAAACCAACGTGTTGTATCATAGACTGTGTATATAATTCAAGACTACTTATCGCTTAAGGAGGAACCAATGTCGCGACAACACAACAGTTCAAGACTGCCGTTGACACTTTTGCCACCGGATGGTCCAGCAGGACCTAAACCATCCCGGAGAGACAATGATCAGGAAGACAAAGCCTTGCTGGTCTCAGGGACCCCATAAAATCCCTGATTGACCCAAGGAAAGTGCTTCAAGCCGGCCGCAAACAGGCAACCCCAAAGCTGACGAAGTCGGAGACGGCTCCAGAAGGAAGGAAGTGAAAGTGAGTCCATCGGTTGAGGGGTTTTTTTTACTCTGAGAAAGATTGCCCAAAGAAACTTTAAAAAAAAGATAAATTAGTCCTTTAAGTAAAAAAATAAAGCAGCAAATTTAATTCTTATTGGACTGCCTTGGAAAGTTTTTGTTTTTTCTTGTAACAATGTTTTGTGGATTGAAGTGATTGTAACGTTTCCTGTTTCTTCGCTTGAAGTGAATGGATTGATTTTTTTCCTCTATTTTTTACCACCTTATTTTTTGGCTTAAATTGAAACTCTTTTTTATTTTAACAAATTCTCCCTTCTATTTGTTAGTAAATACCACCAAAGACAATTAAAGATTTTTGTTTTCCATAAAATTGAGAAAAGTATGAAAAAGTGGAACCTGCCATTTGGAAGCCAGGGTCTGAAGTCCTTTCTTTGAAACAAGGTATCCTTTGTTCATTCCTACTTGATCTTACTGACTTTGTAACTGAAGGGTTTGCAACTTGCTTACAAAATCTGATAAAGAATCAAGGGTACCTGCAATTGTTTTTTGCAGGTGCTCTTGGAAAATATTTTGGCAAGAGAAGGAAAAGGAAAGAAAAAGATATTGATATTTGTAACCAATCGACACGCTTTCTACAAGTTGTAACGAAAGATGTTTCTTTTTTGTGTGTGTTTTTGTTTAATTAAAACAATAAAACTTTTCAAAAAAAAGACTACTTATTGCTTGTTTTGGAGAATGTTTATCCTACTTTATTTTTGTTAATGCAAGTAAAGTTATCCTTGTTTTAACTTCAGCGGCTGTGATTGATAGTGTGACTATTCAACTGCACATTCCTTGCTACCTTCTGCTACTCAACTCTAGTCTCCAAAAGAAGATATATACTTAACAGTACTTTAAAAAAAAAACACTCTAAT